TGCACTCCCTCAAGAAAGCGAAGTGTGTTTCACTAAACAGTACCCTACTTTATGATTGAATAAATTAAATGTTTTAATTAACAAAAGAATGTTGCTTTGCCATTCTTTTGTTAATAAAAAATTGGCGTCGCCGTCGGCGTCGCCGTCCGCGTCGGCGCTGCCGTCGGCGTAGCCGCACGCGTTGTATTAATTACGAGACGTGTCCCCGCTAAAGTTAGCGGGAAAACGTCCCATAATGCAACGCGCGCCAACGTCAAAGCTGACAGCGACGCCGCTCAAGCCGGAAACGGGCGCCTAAGAGCTGCGCTATAAAAGTGCGTACACCTCTGGAGATTTCGTAGAATTTCATCATAACTTACGCAAAACTTACGAAAATTTCGCTTCATAAATACACATTTCTTCTTTGGTTTTTCGTAAGCACCTTTTGTCGTAAGATTGTTTCGTGAATAAGCTTTGTTGCCTGTTGCGGACGACAAAGGTAAGGCAGACGGGTCATACAAATGCGACTCTAGGCCGAACCGCTTCTTGGCCATCATGACCACTGGTGATGTGGCGGCGCCTTCGTCCTCATTAATGTAATTATACCCATTGCTCTCGTCATGTTGGTCGGCCATCACACACACGAGGAAGCTCCGCCGGCTCCTCGATATGTTACAGTCCTCGGGTACTACCGACTAGCGAGATCGTAACGTCTTGACGCCCTAGGTGGCAAGGTTCTTAACTACGGTGCGCTTGGCCCTGCATCACATGATGACGCCAAGGCCGCACCGGATCTATTGGATCTGCCGAGATGCATCGCACTCTCGATGGCTGACTTAGAAGCGCTCGCCAAAATCCCGGCATTTAGAATGAAAAATAGAGCCATCCGCTTAAGATACAACCATGCGATTATTAATTAGAGGTTTAGATCATCCTACTTGACTTAGTTCTTGATGCCGGAATATAAACTTCTTAATTCTAACTAGGTTAGATATTTATAGATCCCTTAATCTGAACCCTGATCGGTGGCCAGGCTTCAAGACCATTACCCTTCCGAGGGGGGACCGCGTGTGAACAGGGTCTCACCGTACAGCCACGGAGTGTCGCACTTTCCCAACTCGGTCTCCGGAGCGCCGTAGCGGGTGCTGTCCAGAGTATAGCAGAGCTGGATGGGCAGCCTCAGATATGTTATCCTAATGCTGCAAACGACGAACCGACGGAGATGAGTCAGAGAGGAAAGTGCTTACTTCTAGCCGTATGACCTTTTTTTTTTTTTTTTTTTTCAAAGTGCTTCGTCATCTGGTAGCCGCTGTGCCAATTATCGGAGTCCGTCTTGTTGGGCCATACAATTTGAGCACGTCTTGCATACGAGTGCTGCGCCAGTGTTCAGCGTGGACTTGGAGCTGAGCACACGGTTCGCGCATGAAGCGGTGCCCAAAAGATAACGACCGCCCAATGTCGCTTGATCTATTCGTCACTATTTGGCATAGAAATGATGTGCATATTTTAGTGTATAAATTTATACCGAAGCATGCACAGCGGGACGTAAAGTCCCTAGATCATTGCTTCCTACGCGACATTCTTTGAAGCGCCGACGGCGTGACGGTGCAGGATTTAGGAAGCGAATGGCGGCGCGCAGAGGTTTGAACTGAATGCCGCCATTTTTTTTCCAGCGGAATGTGCTTTACCATTTTTATTGGTTGTTGTTACTTGTAAAATAAGTATTGAAGGATTTTATCGGGACGGCAGTGTCGCTGTGCTTACCACGATATACAACTAAACACTTGGTTGGGGTGCGCAAAAGGGGTGTCATCTATGCACCCACCGGATCGCTTATCACCCAGGAGAAGAATACAGTAGGTTGTGAACGCATGTGTCTGATATTCCGCAAAATAAAGCTAGTGCGGATGCGCACAACACGTTTGACAGCCCAGTAGATAGCGTTTAAAAGGCGATCCTTGGAATGGTTCAACTTCATAGACCCCTTTCGAAAGTCACGTGCCATTTATTAGAGGGTCGGAACCACTGCACAATGGCGGAACAACAGAATGTGCAAGTCATTCCATACAAGACGGCCTTAGGGCTCCCTATTGGCACATCCACTGACAAACAACGAGGGCTCGGAGTTCATAACACCGTGGAAGAACTCATTGAAGGACACCTTCACTCTCAATATACTCGCCTCGCCACCACGGCGACGGGCCGACACATTCTTGCCGCGCTAGGAATTCAACACGAGGGAGCGACTCAGCCCAAAATGAACCTCCCAAGGGAAGTCCGGAAGCATCTTCTGGTCTCCCCCCTGCCGAAAAACATGCACCCGGAATACCATGATGCACGTCGCCGAGACCGCTGCAAGCATCTTCACGAACGATACCATCAGGAACACGGTGCAGTTTATACGGACGCGGCCGATCATGCCACGAATCCAGCAATGACGATGGTCGTCACGAACTCCCAGGGGGTACTTCTCAGCGGCGGATCCATCGCCACCACCAGTACTGAAGATGCGGGAGAGAGAGCCATAGCCCTAGCCCTCACGCTACCCACCGCTACCACCATTATTTCGGACTCCAAGCGCGCAGTTCAAAATTACGTTCGGGGCCGCATATCGAGGTTCGCGGCCAGGATCCTCCGAGACTTCGTCCCCACAGACACGTTCAGCATTGTCTGGGCACCCGCCCACTCCTCTCTCCCAGGCAACGACTTTGCCCACAACACCGCCCGAGAACTTGCCTACCGGGCAGCGGGAGATAGGGAAAGTGGTTTGACCCTCCACAAGGATGTACTGACAACGTATCAGGAAATTACGCAGGCATACCGTCTTGCTCGCAAACGATACCCCGCCGGCGACAAATCCTTAAGCAAGGCCCAGGAACATACCTGGCACCGATTGCAGACAAACACATATCCTCATCCCACAATATATTCGCATATTTATCCCGATAGGTACACGGGCATATGCAAATTTTGTCCTCAGCCAGCCAACCTCACCCACATGATGTGGGGGTGCCCAAACCTCCCGAAGAGATATGGAAACGTCGAAACTATGGAGCAGTGGGACGCACTGATGTGTAGCTCAGATCCGGTCGACCAAGCGGCGGCCTGTGAATGGGCTGCGGAGGCCGCCGGGGCTCAAGGGCTCCCGGTCGCCTGATCCCATCATTTTTCCCTTCTGAATGTACGAAGAATAAAGTTTTCAACAACAACAACGTAGGAGCGCGGCCAAAGCTAGAAGCCGACAATTGCCAATCAAATAGCGTCGAAAAGTGCAACGTCACTGCACTCATCCTATCTTTCTGTGGCCTGCTTTTGCCTTTCAATCCAGCCAAACGCGTCAAGAGTGCCGTGACGTCGCGGTTTTAGTCCGCCATCGTGCAGGAAATCTACAGCTGCCACGGGAGAGAAGTGTTTCGGTATTGGAATGTATAACATTAGGCATTAGCCGAAGCTTTGTTCTTGTAGGCGCCAATCTTAAAAGAAAGAAGATGAAAAAAAAAACGGCGCTGACGGATTATTATTTTTTTTTTAATTAGCAAATTTATGAGTTTGTACTGGGCAACATTATTAGATTTACTCAGTTGTGGAACTCCCACCCTCCTCATTCCCTTTAGTCCGCCTCCCGTCGTTTGAAGCGTCATCCAAATCTTCGTCTCAAAACTGTGTTCCGTAGAGTACGTTAAAACGCCATTTAGACGCTGGGCTTCGAAACCTCGTTTGAAAAAAAAACGGAGTTCATAGGATACACAGCAGTTACCATAGCATCCTTCCCCCCAAAACATTGGCACGTGAAGCGACGGGAGGGCAAGCAGCGTCTATGGGCAGGTCCGCAACTGAGCTAATCTAGTAAGGTTGGTGCTGGGTGATGCGTTGACGTCATTTCTTTCTGGGAATTGAAGGTTGAAGCCTCTTCTTCTGCAGTCCTTTGAGACTCAAATGTAATGACGATCGAGTTGAGAATTGTAAGCATTTTTGCTGCGACTGTGACGGCATAACACCGTATCACGTGGCATACGCGCAAAAAGACACACATCCGAAAAACAATAATACTGGTAATGCTTTTTTTTAAATTTTGCTGCGAAGAAATTAAAGAGGTGTTTGCCTCACATTCACACAAACACCGTGTGTCGGGTTTGTATTTTCGCCGTGTTATAATTAAAACAAAAATGTAATTTTTAATTTAAAAAAACTACATATTGCAAGGCGCAATCGCGTTGTGAAGGCCTGACTTTTAACAAACAAAATTTGGACATAAAAAAAGTCAAATTAACTGCCACCGTGTCAAGCTATAAAAATCAAACCACATATGGGCTGTTTATCTCTCCGTCTACTTTCTTTTCTGTTTTGATTACTTATATTTATTGATGTCATTGAAAACGTTTTGTACTGGAGCAAACATGGAGCAAACAGATTTATTGAAGGAAAGACATATGACGATAATATGATCCACATGTGATATTTGTATTTCGCTTTGGATTTTTAAACCCCGCGTAGCACTGGAAAAACGAAAACAAAAATTGTGTATCTCGAAACTGGACCTTGCACTTACGCTTTCAAATTCTTTGCCCAAAACATTCCTGAAAGCAATTTTTTTTTCACGTACAATGTTTTTTTGCGGAATTTGAAACATGCTTTCCGACGAAAAAGAAAATACTCAATTACGGAAGACATTTATTTGTATTCTAAATTTAGTTTCGAACACGAGTGTACAAACGCGCGCTCAAAACAGTCACGATCAACACTTGCATCGTAAATATCTTGGTGAGCATCGTACCGGCGTGCGGTCGTGTATCACGACTGTGTGATGCACGTTAAAAACCCCAGGCTAGCGGTTGTACTGCACTGGCTAAATTGCTCATCTACAGCTGGGAGACTCGTCGCCCGTTGAGGCTGACCAAGTTCTAGGCTGTATAAATATACACACAACCCAATTTTTTGCATCGTAAATCGCATGGTCACGCAGTGCGAGGACGATTCTTTCTGTTCCAGCAAAGGACCACGGATTTGCGCGTGCCACTCACTGTTTTCTGCAGTCGAAGGACCCACACGTGGGCGCGGTAGATCGCATGCGGCACTCGAACAACTCGTGCGGTGCGTGGGATATCTTCCACCGCAAAGCTGGCTCGTACTGGGCCCGGAACACGCCGAGGACTATTTCCTTGAAAAAACACGAATGCACGCGATCAGACGTATACACGAACTCGGCTCTGTTATATCCACAGTTATGTCACGGCGCCGTGGTGGCGCGTCGGGCGCACTTCGGGTCTCAGGCTGTGGCCGGAAGTCACCGTGCGTGACATGCACTGCTTTTGTTACTTTGAAAGAGACTGGTCAAAAACCTGCCTTTTCGTCAAAACACCGCGACTGGGGCTGTACCAAGAGTGTCGGGAGAGGTTTGAAGGTCAGTTTTCATGTGTTTTCTGCCTGTTCGGTTCGTCCGAGAACCAAGCAGGCCGTGAAAAAGGAAAACCAGACGCTGTCCGACTACGATTGCTTGGGCAGGAAGCAAAATGGACTGAATTCACGGATACTTGTGGTCGTCAAAATTATTTGTTTTGTTCCAACATGAACTTGGGAAAACCGTCAAGTTTTACAGACCCCCTGCGGACTTCGCTGCGTCACCAAGTTCAAACGGTCGCCAGATCGTTCCAGCTGTCGTCTGCTCTCTCAAACGTTTCTTCTTCTTGTCTGCTCGTTCAAACAACAGCGGCCCGTAGGCGAAACGTTGACCCTATAATTGCGATAAGAAGTAAGTGCAGGCCTCAAAAGACTTCTAAGTTTGAAGGTTGGTTGGGTTAAATAGCCTCGGTGTAAACAGTAGATACAAGGAGATGTTGATAACTGTTACCGGTGGCCATCACCGACTTGTTATGCCTGATCTACTTTGTCCGATTCTGCTAGCGGTTCTCAGTGTCGACGTCGACATCTTAGCTACGGTCCATTCTGCGGTGTCCACGAATGTCCATGAATCGCCGCGTGACACTTTGTTCACGCAAAGTTTCGCGGTGTAACGAGCCTCGTTAATCTCGTTAAGGTCACTAAAGTAGTTATACGTTGTTTGAAAGACGTAGAATAAACAATTCCAACGCGAAAAAGAGCACGGGGACTCACCGACGCCGACAACGTCGCATTTCAATGGTTTGTTTATGGGCGACGGCGAGCTTCTTGCCGACACTCCATCGCGCATGCGCGGCGCCGGTGGTGTCCGCTAAAGGCGCTCCGGTTTGTTAGTCAACATGAGTTGGTCTATCGACGTTTGCCAGTGTAGCCTATGGGCGCCGCCATCTTCCTGCCGCTGAGGATAGAACGTCTGATAGCCAAGCATCGCTGAGGCTGTGGTACGCGTCAACGATGCCTGGCTATCAGACGATCTACCGGCACCAGCAGCAAGATGGCGGCCACCCATAGGCCATACTTGCAAACGTCTATGCTTGTCTATGCTTGTATGAGGGGTGCTTTGTAAACCTTAAAAAAGAAAAGGGGGGGGGGGGGGGGGGGGGGACCGGGAAGGCGTTTGCTTAGAATAGGAAATGGGGATTAAGCTTTAGCGGTTTGGAGGTCACCATGTGTGGTGACCGTGGGGTTGTTGTTGTTCGAGTGGTCGGCTCCCTTTCCGAAGGTTGTTGGAGCCGGGGAGTGGCTTAAGGGGTGTCCAAACAGGACACTACAAAACTCACGACTCCGGCAAATCGTGCCGCGCTGTGCCGCGATCCGCTTCCGGCTGTCGGAGGGAAATTTCCCTCCGTCAATTCTTCCCGGGGGGAAACTTCCCTCCGTCAAATCTCCTCCTCGCTTCCTCCACGGCGCCCTTGCTCTGCTCATCACGTGGGGTCCGGAGAGCCACTCACACGCTCTGTTGGCTGTCGGTCAATCGCTCAAGGCCTCCGCTCACAATACGGAACCGCGTCGGACGCCATCACGACGAAAGTGAATCTCGACAGAGAAAACAGATCCGAGGCGGGAATGTCCCAAATCCACCCGAAGCCGGACCCCCTTGGCCTTCGAGCCGAGGCGACAACGGTACGCGAGGTCGTTGGCGAGGTGAGCCAGATACAGGTGGCGTGTGACGTCAGAGAAAAGTGGAGGAGGCGAGGAGAGCAGTCGTGATCGTGAAAATTTTCACGACTCCTGCAAAAATTTTTACGACTCCGATAAATCGTAAAAATAAAAGCGTCCGCTTCGATTTTCACGATTTGTCGGAGTCGTGCGTTTTGTAGTGTCCTGGACACCCCTTTAGGCCGGTGGGGTGAGCGCGTTGGCCGTCTTGTTTCTGCTTTTGAGTTTTTTTGCCCTTTCTCTTTTCCTTTTGTGTGAAAGTCTATTCATTGCTATGCTCCTACCAATAAAACTTCAGCTGCGTTTGAGATTTTGTTGTGTTCGTCCGTTTTTTATCGTTCCCCATCTCAGGGTGAACATACCGTTTACCAAACAACCCCGCGTCTGGCCACACCGGGTGGGGGCATTGGGCGTGCGCAGAAACCACATTCGCGTGAGGCGACGCTTCTGCGCATGCGCAGTGCAGTCAGCAACGCCACCGCAGTGGCGTGTCGTCAGCTGCGTGTGTACCGTACACAGGGTTCGATTGAAGCCGATTTCTGCACATTATAGTCGCTTGAGTCTCGTCGTCGTGGTGCCAACGAGGCGAGGAAACTTATGTCCTGCGCATTTTTCGGAAACAGTGGTATCTTATGAACATGTTTGTTTGCTAAAAAAAAACCTACATAGTTCAGAGTGGGCCGACATGTGCTGATATCCCACTGTGATGTCGCGTGTAATATTCCGCTGTCCCTGCACTGTTTTCCTTTTTTTTTTTTTTTTTTTTACGCAAATGAGCGATGTTGGGGCGAAGGGGTCTACACCTCTGAACTATCAGCTGCTTCTTCGTGTTGCTGTTTTCTTCTTTTTTTTTTTTTTTTTCCTCATCCCGACAGTTGGAACTTTCGAGATTTTGTGTCCCATTTCGTAGAAACGGACCGTTTCAAGATTAACCCTTATGTAGAACCTAATATATAGAACCTAATTTTACAGCGACTAGCACGACTCTTCTACTTAAAGGTTATAAAAAAAGGTGTTCGAAAGATATTGAATTCGTGAAACTGAGTTTGCTTCTGCAGAAACGAATATAGACAACTCACTTGACACATAACACAAAGCTATTAAGTTATTCTAAAGCAGCCCTCTCCAGAATTATTGAGAAGGCGCATTTGCCTGCGATTGTGTTCTGTATCCAAAACGTGTATGAAATGCCGGATTCGAAGTCATGTGCTATTAATTTTATCCATCGAGATAAATGAAATAACCTCTACGAGAGTAATATCAATCCTCAGAAATTGATTACTCGGTATTCCGAATAGTGAAATTATTTTAGCAGCGTAATCAAAATATAGGTTGATTATTCTAAACCAAATACATATAGCAAAGAGCGTACTCAGCACACTGCAGCATAGAAACAATTAATATAATTTAAAAAAAGCAAAATGATTTCTAGTTTCACCAACATACTGCTTACCTGTTGATATTTTGTACACAGTCGTGGGTTTTCCCTACAGCCGCTCGAATTCTTGTTTATCCTAAAAAAGTTCGAAATAGAAGAAGAAATCACTGCTCTGATACGAACAAGAATATCTGAATTCAGACCTTAGGCACTGCTGGAAATGAAAATCAGGGTACTGAGTGAATACAAGGAACCCCAACATTTTGTCGGAAGAAATATCTGGTCGTATTCGGTAACAAATTAATGCTGAAAATGCTGTTTTGTGTGATGTGTTTGTTCCACCGCAAAGTCCAGCCCTGAGCTAGCCCCATCCCTTTGTGGCCATCATAAAATTCCAGCGCACAAATTGTTCGAGCGATATCCTAGAATAGATCACTGTATTTTGTTTTCTATCACTTACCTTTAATGTATAAAAAGAATGATGTATGCAAAAATATGAATGGCATATAATTGTACATATGCAGTACAATACGCTTTGGTGTTTATGGTTGACTCTTTTTTCTGTGGTTACTTGGTTACTTGAGAACTTTGCGAGCTTATTTTGCAAAGTGTTCTACATATATTGCTAGTATTATAAAGTTGATCGATTACTCAAATGATTTGTTTCGATTCTTTTTAATAATATATGGGTTTTTTAGGCTTATACTTTACTGGGTGTGCTCAAAGATGCGTTCTCCACTCCTGACTGAATCATATAATCTGCAATGCAAGTTATATAAAAAAAAATTTAAAAAAGCCGAACGATTGGACGGCAAAGTCACGCTGGTGCATGGTCAATGTCCGTCTTTCTCTGCGATACGTCTCAGGTGTAGGTTCTGGATACGATCAGAGCTCAACTATAACCACATGAACCAATCGGGGACGTAGAGCGACTTTAGAAAAGACTCGCCAGCTGCCAGTACAGATGGTGACTGAGGGAAAGACGAGACCCTGGCGCTTGTCTGCAGTCATCACCGATTGGTACGGGTGGTCCAGGTACGTCTGCATCACAGAGTTGGCCTGGTAGAAAAAACCAACGGTGCAAAGTACGCCCAGCAGGACGCTACACGCCAGTGACCAAGCCGATCGTTTCTCCATGTCCCTGTGGAGCTCGACTGACCCTCCGCAACCGCCTGCTGCTGCCTTAAGCCCTCGGCAGGGGAAGGCACGTGACAGCGTACCTCTAGAGTGCGCTCCTGTGGAAAGCTATCACGTGATCCATTGAGTCACTCTAATGGATTCGCGGGAACCGTTGTTTTCGCTCTTTGCCAAGTTATGCTGAAAGCTTAAAACTGAGTATCTGTATAGTGTGTCCTTCTGGAGCCACGATGTCATGATCTCCGACCACAAGGGAACATCCATGTACTCGCTCGGTTTATCTTGTCAACGACGGAGACTGACGTATTTTGGGTTGATCGATGTTCATGCGTGTTCATCCACAAGGTCATTTATGATTCCTCTTTCGTTTAGGAGACGTTATGAGCCGTGCCGCATTTTTTATTATTATTTTGTACGGGACATAAACAAGGTTCCGAACATGTTTACGACGCAAGTGGTTTCATTTTTGTTTCGTGTCGGCATTTTAGTTGGGAAGATAGGATCAATAACTTGAACACAGGGTCAAATTGAAGGAAAAAAAAATAAAGGAGAGCTGAGATAGAATATCTGGAGCTAAAAGTTTTCAACGTAAACCAGCTCGTGTATAATCTTTCCAGTTTTCAGAGCAATGATAGCGAAAGCAAACTAAATTAAGCCAGCCGCACTCTGCGTGACCGTTGCAATTACCGTATATCCAATGGACGCAATTCAATGTCTCTTATATAAAAACAAAAACAAAATAGCGCCGATGGCTAGTGGGATCTTTACTTTCAGCAGGGCTGTATTGTGTTTTCGTCACCTTAATTGATAAAAACAAGATCACTTCAATAGCTCCCATCACAATTTTCTTAAAGGGGCGAGCGATGCAACGATTTTGTACTTCTCGCAATACCGCTTATAACGAATCCCTGACGTTAATGACCTGTGAAACACCCGTTTGTTTTTCACCGTACGCAATCGAATCACAGAAAAAAAGATTACAGAAAAACAAGCAGCGTTTACCCCCCCCCCCCCCCCCCCCCCGGATTTCACCAGGGGGGGCACGAGCAGTGTTGTACACGTTCCTCGAAAAAAGGAACGAAAGCTCGTTCCTCGTTCCTTCCGATTTTTGGAACGCGTTCTCGTTACAAGTTCTATCTGTGAGAAAGGAACTCGTTCCCGTTACAGTTAAAAAAATGGAACGTATCGTTACATATACGTTACATTCGCATTCTTCTGATCACCATAATTAGTTAGATCAACCAAAGTTTTTTTTTTTTTTTTAATCTATCCCAATAAATGGCAACATACGAATTTGAATGCAGTGACGGCAAGGCAACAGGAGACGAAGACACACGCCAGCAGGGTTCTTTTTGTTGAAATATTCACCTTTTAAAACCTCAGCGTTTTACCATATTCCTGTTTGGAATGGCCGATTCAGACGAGCGAAATGCACACTTACCCCATATTTCACGAGCTTTTTACAACAACCTCACAGGTTTCAATCTAACAAAGTACCTTGTTCGAACTTAACAACGGCTGTTTCTCGATGTTGGCGTGCGCAAGACGAGCAAGTAGAGAAAAGCATACGGCTTTGAAGGTGAGTCTTGAAAAATACAAGTCCTTCTCCGTGAAGTGTAGATTCGTTGTTCTGTTTGAAGGTCGGGGACAAGGGGAGAAGTAAAGATTAATTTATTGCATCATCTAAGTGACCAATATTCGGGGTACAAGGGTGCGTTCGATATCAGGTAACCTGTCCTTTGTTGTAACTGTAGGTATGTTTGTGGAAGTTCAGGGATGGCTGTAGTCGGCCTTAGATTTCTGGGTGTATGAGTGTTCGTGGAAAAAAATAAAGTGGCTAAGTTTCAAACGTCCCTCTTTCTGTGTCTTTTCCTTCGACTAAACGTTTTGCGTTTCGTACCGCACTCTCGGGCACTGCAAAAAATAATGAATGTCCACTAGCTCTCCTGCACCCGACTGTTACCAAGCGAGGACTATACAAAATAAACTCTAAGTAATCCAAACTTTAACGGGACCCTACTCTTTGTAAAGATATTGTTTTTATACTTTTAGAATTTCCCTTTTAGAAATAAAATACAAATTACCCCATTGGACGAGAAAAAAAGGAACGCCGTTCCTTTTTCCGTTCCAGTAAAAATGTAACGAGTTCCCGTTCCAGTTCCACCGATGAAAAATGGAATGGCGGCGTTCCTTCGTTCCTCTTAAAAGGAACGCGTTCCAGGAACGCCGTTCCTTGGAACGCCGTTCCGTACAACACTGGGCACGAGCCCCGTTGCCCCCCCCCCCCCCCCCCCCCCCCATAGTCTACGCCTATGCTTCCTATTATGGTTCGGCCATTATCGTTACTGCAGCGATTGGACACGGCCCACAACCCGAATGCTTGTCGAGCAGTCGATTGTCATGAGCCCAAATCGAGTGTCCATACAATGTTCGGGTCCAATCTATGAGCCTCATTCAAATGACGTAGCTGGGCGGTACTGCGCCCACCCAGCTACGTCATCAAGTTTTGCGAAAGAGAGATTGAATAAAAACGCTCGCTTTTGTCTTTGAATACACCGCAACAAAGAAGTTTCTTGGCCAGTGGCGTTGCGTGCGAGTATCCTTGAGTCCCACTAGTGCCAGTAAGCTCGTGTAAGGTGAAAAACATTCCAATTGAATATCGTTGCACCGCCTCCTTAACTGCGATGTTGGCCACTTCCGGTAGCCTGCCTCCAGTTGGTTGGTCCCGCTGCCAATCTCTGTCAAGCAGGACAGGAAATCCGCTGACCAGATTCTAGTTGGTACCACTGGAAAACCACGCTTGCCAGGTTCTGAACTTTCTTAGATTTTAGCGATTTTAACTCGAATATCTGATGAAAACTTTTACCGGTGACGCATGCTCACCTCGGATCCGAATAAAAATAAATGAAAAAGAAGTCACATTTAGTTGTGGCGCGCGAAATCACCCCGGGACTGGTCACGTAATGTTGTAAAGTTTCACGAAAAGGAACATATAGCCAGGCCTCATTTTCAAATATTCGCATCGGAAATCATGTTTTTGACCCTTTACTGACGCCTGTGAGTTCCCTTGTGTCCCATTAGGCACACAATGATGCTTGTGGACCCCAAATGCACCCTGGAAGTCTTGTCCATTGGACGCTCTGCCAACACCTTACAGCGCCAGTCAACGAACCGTTTCAGTGTAGGCCATTTTATCGTAGGTAGCGCCATTTTGAGAGCGAGAGAGAAAATAGAAAAGGTCTACTGGCGCTTTCCCCCCTTGCCGGAGCGTTATAAAGAGTGAAAGTCCCAGATGAAAGGCTTCGCCGGTGTTTGGTGCATGCATTGCCCGAACTTCGTTCGCGCTTTCCTCTCTGTTTTAAGGGCTTCGATTGAGACAGACGCCCGGTCATCGAGATACCAATGCTTGGTTAAGGCGCGTTCCCACCGGCGATGCGATCTAGTCGCGCGATAACTTTCATCGCAAAAGCGACCATCGCGGGCAAAAAGCGACGCGAGTTGAGCAGTCGCTACTCGACCCGACTTTTTTGCGGTGCGATCTAGTCGCGGAGTGGCTGAGCCAATCAACGGCGTTCGGAGCGAGAGTTTTCGAGAAACGCCTTGCCAACGAAGGCGTTGGACTCGCTCATCGCGCACGCCGGTGTGACCATCTAACTTATTTTGCGATGCGATCTAGTCGTATCGCGCGACTGCTTACATCGCCGGTGGGAATGCGCCTTTATAGGGTGCACGAATAACGACAGAAATCGTCGAATACAGTGTGATGATCCTATGTAGCTATAGTCGGATGCAACCTGAGAACAATCTTTTAGCTCCACCCACAAGCGCATTGCGCCCATCTGAAGTGCTTCCGCCGTCGAGAAAGTAGTTCGCTAGCAACGTTGCTTTTTCTTCCTCCAGGAAACGTGTCTTAAACTACTACAATATTTATTTAATTCATTCAGGACATTAAAATAAGTTAGAATACGTTTTTGTCAACGAAATAGCTGTTTAGTAAAGA